CCGGGGCAGGTTTGGGCGTCTGTGCCAGGGCTGCCTGTGCTGCTGGGGCTGGACTGGTCGCAGGCTCCTACCTGGCAGCTGTCGATGCCGCCCTGCATGTAGCCAGCACACAGGTTGTGGCTGGGGGTGTTCCCCTTTTTGGACCCTGGCCTCTTGCAGGATGTCAGAGGGTCTTTTAGCTGTGGGCACAGAAGGGAATTAGCAGGCAGCAGGTTGTTGCCAGAGCTGGTCCCCTGTTTGGGCCAGGCCCTTCCCTAGGGCTTGGCTTTGCCTCTGGAAGGCGTTGTACCGGTGCTTCCCTTCTGTCTGGCTTTGGGGAGTGGGTCAGGCCCATCTCTCTAGGGCCACACGTCCCCGCAGCCTGAGCCCTGGCTTTCCCCTCTGCTGTTGGGAAGCCCAAGCCATCTCCCCAGTGTGCCAAGCTCATGGTGGGGACACGAGTACTTTTTGGGAACTCACATCCTTCAATGGTGGCACCCCAGCCGCTGACGTAGCACGTGCGCAGCTGCGACAATCTGAGCGTGGCATCGGGCACGCAGGCAAGCTGTACGTAGTAGCCGCAGTAGACAGGCTGGTCCAGTTCCAGCAAGGCGATGTCGTTCATCTCCGTGTTGTTATTGTAGTTTTCATGAACCTGGAGCCACTTGATGTGGCGCACTTGGGTCTCGGGTCCCGGCTGGCTCAGCTGGGTGATCCCGGCGACCACACGCCACATGGTGATGTTGCTGGAAGGCGGAAGGAGAGAGGGCTCAGAGGGAGCGGAGCCACGTGCTGCAGCAGCTCAGCAGCTCCCTGCCTGCCAAGGGAGAGAGGAAAGCAGCGCTACGGAGGGTGCGACTGCCCCAGCTGGTGCCTTGGGCTGAGAGGACATGGAGCTGGAGGCAGCCGGGAAGCAGCGGCACGAGCCCAGCCTTCTCCTGAGCAGTCAGTCCCTGAGCTGGGCTGGGGAGTGCCCAGGCACGGGGCGTAGCGCGAGGAAAGGGGATGGGAGTAGCAGGTGGTGCTGCGGACAGGGCACCTGCCCATCTTGTGTGGACAGCCCTGTCCCCTGGTCCTCCTTACCTGGCCTCGATGAAGCAGTGGGCTGCGGTGAGGAC